GCCCCCCTGTAAAAAAAAGCCCTAAAAAAAAAAAAAAAAAAAAAAAAAAAAACAGTAATCTGACATTGGAGCATGTAATGAGTGGGCTATTTTAGCAGGTGTAAACTGGACAGATCTGTGCTGTCTGGTCGTGTTTGGTTCGCTCCTAGGTGGGCACTGAGTCCTCAGGCCATAATAGTTCCATATTTGGGTATGTTTATATCATGAAATAAAGCCACGTGTGTGTACATAGGTATGTCTAGATGTTTCTTAGTTAGTTGTAGGTAAGTTTGATTAATGAATTTAAGGCAATACATCTGTTCCAAAAATTAAGATGCATATTTTCTGCCTTCTTCCTGCATAAATCCCTATAATTCTTGCCAGGTGGCAAAAGGATTGGAATGAAACTTTTTAAAATCCATTAGACCTATATGAAGAAGGCTAAGCTAATTTTAAGTAGCTATATTGGAAAGCTTGCTTCACATTTGGGCAATGCCATTCTCCTTTGAATCTGTTTGATTATAAATATTAGGCATGACTTGAAATTTATTTTCTGACCTTTGGCTCCAAATCATCGCCCAATCCCTGGGCAGTCATTGTAAGTGAATTCTCTGGCTGGGCAGAGCAAAAGCCTGGTACCTTCACTACAGGAAACTGGAGGGTATCTGGTTAAGCTGCCTAGCAGGTGTCAAGTAGCTTGGCTCATCTCCACTTACATTTCACTCATTGAGCCAAGTATGCTAGGATGCTTCTCTTGCATGATGCCATTTTGATTTTTCAATGAGACTGGCATAGCATTGCAACTATTTATATATTTGTAAATAAGCTGCCTTGCAGAGTCAGCATGGGAAAAGGCAGATGCTGTTTTACATGGAAAATGGATGCTTTCTAAGCCTGAGCTTGCTTTTCTCCTTCTGGCTTATTCCAGTGAGATTCGTGAGTGGAGAGATTTAACAAGTGTGTAGATCAGGCACCTGTTGGGCACACTCATTGCCATGAGCCTGACTTATGTGGGATTTTAAAGGCTGTGCTTGCAGGGACCTCCAGATAAACATTACTGTACACCTAGAGGTGGCATGTGTTCAGGGGACATCTGAGGAGTCCAACTTAATATATTTACCTGTTTGTTTTTCTTTTTAAATTCACGTCCATCTCTTCCATATTCCTTAGGAAAGTTTTGGGAGCTTTAAAAGATCCTGAGGCTTGGAGCTGGCAAATGGCATGGTGGTTAAGGGCACTGGACTCCCACATAACTGACCATGGTTCAAGTGCTGGATCCGGTGGCTTGCTTTTTCACTTTCCCTCTCTCACTTTCTCTTGCTCTGTCCCTCTCTGGTCAAATTAAAATAAATAATAATAAAAAATAGTATTAAAAAAGAGTTATTAAAAAAAGATTCTGAATTGCATACTACTTCATTTTCTAGAAGTATTTTTTAGAGGAAATTTCCTTGATTTCTTATATCTGCAAGTGTCCACTTGCAGATATAAGTTATGTGAAAGTAGTAATACGTTCTTTGTATATATATTGAAAACTATAGCCTAGAAAAATCACGTATTTATTATTTAAAAAGTTTGGTTTCACAATTTTCTGGGTAAACTAGTAAAGATTTCAGACAAACAACTTACACATTAAAAATTTTGAGGAGTCTTTTGACTTCTCTGGACCTTAACAGTTTCCATGGAAATTATCCTAAATATGGGCAAAACTGTTATGTATCTTACAGCAGCTGTACCTTTCTTTGCTATTGTTAATGATGCACCTTAGTCCAGCCTGTGGTCTGGTGGCTAAGGCAGCTGGAATCCACATAGTCAGCTATACAGTTTGAGTCCAGTACCCAGTAGCTTAAGAAACATGCTAAGTGTGTGTGCATGTACGTGTGCCTAAAATCTTGAAAAGGAGGGAGTAATGGAGGAGAAAGGATTGCCATGTTATTATTCTCCATAGGGGAGGGTGCTTTCTCTCTCTCTCTCTCTCTCTCTCTCTCTTTTTCTCTCTGGCAAACATACGTGCCCTCTGGCAAAATTTAAAAAAGAAAAAAGAAAGATTTGTCTCATGGATGCCTTTTCTACATA